ATCACAAAAACCAACAATTTTTGAGAAGCAAGACCAACTTATAAAGCATCTAGAGCAGCATAAACCAGAACTACTATCTCTAATTCCTATTACAAAATATGACAAATTCCAAGAAACTACTACAAAGCTTAAAGAAATCTTCACTATCAATAAAATACCTCTATACTTCCTTAAGCTATCTAATCTCTCAGAATCTAGCTGAGATATATATAATGAAAGTACATAATGGTAACAAACAATAACAACCCATACACACAACACAACTTACCTCTTGACAAACTAAACATTTTTACACACAACATACAAGAATTGAACAATAATTTAAAACTCAAACTATAGCTAGAATACTGCAACAAAAAAGAAGTACATATTATAAGCATGACAGAAACTAAACTAGCAGAAACACCTACAACAAAACTAAAGCTTCTTAATCCTTATTTCAAAATCTTTACCTTCAACTGCACTGCCCAAACAGCAAACAAAAGTGAAGCTAGCCTGAGTACAGCAATTGCTATACACAACTCCTTACAGCTCTACATTCACAATATATAAACAGTTCTAGCTACGACTATAATGATTGACTTCTTTTTTCCTCACCTCAACAAAACTCGCATCATATCAGTCTACCTACTCTTGAATAACAAAATACTCTCTAAGGACATACAAAATAAAATCATAACTTGGATACAAGAAGCAAAGTATATGACTAATAGTTATGGGCAACTTTAATAACAACATTGACAACAAAAATAGCAAAACAAATACACCTCTTATACATTACATAGCACACCACAACCTAACTAGCATACTTACCTACTTCAATATCACAGCACCAACTTGAAAAAGAGGCAATAGCAAAAGCCAAATAGACAATATTTGGATATCTACAAACAGCATACATATAATTTCGATCTACAGATCTTATCATCAATACAGACAACTAACAATGATCACAATATTATACAGGTTACCTAGAATCACCAATTTAAACTTACAATACCCAGACCAAAAAAGATAAAGAAAAAAACTTTTCAATATCACAAAATAAACGAGCAACTATAAAAAGACTTTTCAGACAAAATAGATAAGAAACTTACACAAATTAATACCAACACACAACTTGCAATTCAGGATTTGTCTATGCTCAATAAACAATAGCACAAATTCAATTTGGCTCTAAAGTTTGCAGCAAACACTGTCATACTATATACTAAAAAGGGACTACAATCCTTTTATGCTTTTTCAAAAGAAGCAACAAACTTATATCATGCGCTAAAAAATATAAACAAGTTTTAAAGATAATTACTACACTACAACCACCACTATCCGTAGCTCACATATTCTCAAAACTAAATCATCTAATCGATAATATAAATAGGCTTTCAGATTTAAGCTTACTAGCAATTATATACAGCAATCTAACTCAGACAATATTGTACAACTCATTAATTCTTTAAAAATACATAGAAATACTCTGTAGCAAGCAAGAAATCTTGAAAACAACAATGAGCAAACCAATCGAATTAATCAACACTTAGAAAAAAGATATGCAACTTTACAGACAAAACTACAAAACTGATCAACAGTATATTATATAGACACACTGACCCAGTTATTACTTACAATATTAAAAAAGCAGATAGAATTATAAATGACCCAAAGAAAATTAAAGCAGAATATCAAACTCATTTTGAACAATGGACTAAATATAATCTACCAAATATAGCACTATGGCACCTTTGAGAAGAAGAGTATAAACCTAAAAAATATATCAATAACAACTGATACAATAATGTAACTGAACTCACAAATACTATCAAAGAAGCCTTCACAAGCAAAGCAACAGGGCCCTTGATGATTTTAAATGAAATGTTCAAACACCTATCCCCAATGGCATTGCAGCTTATCATACATATATATAATAGCTATATACATCTATTACAAATTCCTCAAATGTAGAAATGAAACTTAATTTTCCTATATCTAAGAAATCAAACTTCATAGATTCTTTAACTAACACAAGGCCTATTTTCCTAATCGAGCATACTTGCAAGATTCTTATCAAGATCATTACAAACAGACTTAATCAAACACTTATTAGATATTTAATACTTTTAACCTCTAATCATATTGCATTACCTCTCACTTCAACAATGTACCCAATCAATACACTAACTCACATACTTGAAGATGCATATATAAACAATAAAGAATTTTGAATCCTTTATCAAGATATGTTAAAGGCTTATGACTTAGTACACATCCCATTACTCACCAAAGCACTACTTAGGATAAAAATCTCAAAACCTATTGCAGACCTAATCACTAGCATCTTTATAGCAAGAACCAACAAAGTCATCACTATACATAGTATTTCTAAATCCTATCCAGTACATGCCGGAATAGATCAGAGCGAAACAATAATACTATTATTATAGCATATATATTACAATCCTCTGATATACACAATTACTACCCAACACCAAGGATATACTCTTACTACTAACATTAAAGCTGAATTCAATACATACAACTCACATATCTTCTGCTTAGCATATATGGACAATACTACATAAATTGCTCAATCCAAACAATCTCTAGAACTTATAATCCATATAGCAATATCCTTCTACAATATGGCTAATATAAAAGTAAATCTAAACAAATCAACTCTAGCCACAAACACCAAAATGAACAATGCACAAATCACTTTTAACCAACAAACAATATCTAACATTCCTCTTAACCAAGCTTTTAAATTTCTAGATGCTGGTTCTTCAGAACCTTTTCTTACAAATCTACTTATATCATTATCATCGATGAAATTACAGCAGCCTTGCAAAAGCTATAGCATGCAAGAATAACAGACAAGCAAGCAATATATATAATCAATTCAGTAATTCTTATCTGATTTGCTTACCAAATCCAAAACATCTTTCTCTCAAGCTCACAGTTGGACAAAATCACTAAATCCTATACTAACCTTGCCAAACACAAAGCTGGGTTTGCTAGTACTATTCCAAGCTCAACATTATTCTAGAACCGAATTTATAGTTTAAAAACAACTTAAAATATACAGCAATTACAACATATCAGCAACTTCTTCAAAATTCTTAATCACCCCTCCTTTGGCACATCTGCATTGAAAATATAGCTACAACAACTACAAAATTCAGCTGCTACAAACCTTTCAATACTTACTCATCAACCTATCTTCCCATCACCTCAAATAATACTCGAACTCTACAAAGTTCAACTTACTTTATACAATGATAGTAATATCTGGCCAATATCAATGAATTGAACAGGAACCTCTATTAATAATATACTATACTTAAACTCAAAGCCTCAATTATAAAAGAAAAACTAAATATACATCATAGTTACTTTAGGGACATAACAAAAATTAGATGATTTTTTAGAGGGGAGATGTGATAAAAAATTTAAAATTATATATAAAGACTTGATCAAAATATATAATAAGAGAGGGGGCAAGCTTCTGATAAAAAAAATTAGGTGATAAATGACATTGCTCTTATTGAACAATTAACTAATTACTTTCATACACAGCTTCTAATCTGGCAGGAATCATATCACAATACACAAAGAATATTCAGAAGCAGACAACCAAAGTGGTACAACACTCTTCTAAATGATATTACTGCAGCAGAGTATATTCATAAACAGCTTGTCCAACCAAGCACCTTTACTATACAACCTCTAAATAATCAACACATTGCATGAGTTTATAACCTATGACTCCAGGTCTTTGGAAAATTCTCAAGAAAGAAAAATTAAACTATCATTTTCCATACTGGAAACAATTACCAAACAATCCTTACTGACTAACCAACTATATGGGATGCAGACTTAGTTCCTCAAATCAACAATACTGCTATCTTAAGGATTCTGTGCAAAATTTAATACATATCCAAGTAGACAAAGAGAAATATATATATGCAAATATCAAGGATCTAAACATAACTCATATACAGCTCTACTCTAATACTACAAAATTACAACAAAAATACACCTTTACTATGTATAAAGATCAGATTTCAAAAAACTTAATGGACACTACACCCAACCTAAAACAAAAATTATGGGAAATCTACAGATTTCTTTATGAAAAAACAATATTAAATGCTAATATAAACATACAACCTCACAGCACAAATTCAATACACAACCTATAGCCCACTAGACAATAACCAACACACCTCTCAACCTCCAAATCTCAAAGTGAATTTCACTTGAAGATATGATCCTAATTACATGCTATAGACTGTTTTTATTGATGCTGACCCAAGTTTATCAAAGACTATTTTGTGTTATATTATAATTATCATATAAATAATCTATTGACAATAATGTAATCTATAGACTGTTTTTTTCTTTGTACTGTTTGCACTTGCTAAAAAAACTTCTCATGAGCGAAACTTAAAACAAACAGAACCACAATATAATAACTATGACACAATTTCTCCTGTTGAAGAAATTCAGGATGAAAGCTATAAACAACAAGGTTATATATAGAACCCGACTAGTGAAATGTTATATTTTCTCACATGTATTCATAAAGACAATAAACTTTCACAAAAAGAACAAAAGGCTATTTTACAAGCCCAACTCTGCAAAAAATACATATACTTTCAACCACTCTCTATGGATAAGACTCTTTAGAAAAATATGTCTAGGACAGCAAGAGAAATGGATAAACTACTTGCAAAAATCATATACAGGTAATCTGCAACTCTTTACCCACTTGACAATACTTTATATATTTTATATGATGCGAAACCAGATTATGAAGACAAGGAAGCACTGGAATTATAGGAAGCAATAGAACAATCTCTTATAGATACAAGAAGCCTTTTGGTGGATAGTCTTTTATATATAAATGATGTTTGTAGGAATCAAGCCATTAAGTGTTTACCTCATCTTATAATCCTTCTGCAAAATATGAGAAGGTTTGCAGACCTGAAAAACTTAATGAAATCATGGCTCAGGAAAATAAGAAAAACAAATTAGTTAATAAAGCATTACAAAACAAAAGACAGTCAAAAATTTTAACAACTTTAACTCTTTTGTATCATGTAGTAGAGGACAATTCAATTTTCAATTTAGAAATTATAAATTAGGCAACATAAGATCTTTTTTTAGCAAAAACTAAAGATATACAAACAATTATCCCACATCTCAAAAATCAAGTTTCAAGCCAGAAACAGATCAAGAGTAAAGCCAAATATTCTATTTGAACATCAATTAACACTCAGATCATTAGTTATAATTATTTAACGACTTATGGGTTACAAAGATTATAAACAACAGTTATTCTATACAATGGAACATTTCTCCACTACTAGTTACCCAACCAATATCCCACTATACCTTCAATTGCAAAATTACATTAAAAATCGAAGAATTTTTACAAATAGGAGCTATAAAACACATCTCATCAACAATATTTTGTTTCTTATTAAAGATTTTCTTAGTACCCAAAAAGAATAGAAAGTCGCATCTTGTCATAGATTTAAGATCTCTCAACAAATTTATTTCATATCAACATTTCAAAATAAAGAATATTGAAGTGGTAAAATCAATGCTTTGTCTCAACAATTACATGGTTTCAATAGATATACAGAATGCCCTTTTAAATATACCAATTGCAGAATCAAATCAACCTTACCTCACATTCGATTACAATGGATACAGATATGCCTTTTCCTACTTACTCTTCAGTTTATCATCAAGTCCAAGAGTTTTTACAAAAGTTCTAAAACCACTTATGAAACTCTTAAAGTTTAAGGCATTCAAATTATAGCCTATTTAGATGACTTATTGATTGTTGCAGATTTGAAAAAGGAAGCTATTATTCATTAAAACATCACTATAAAACACCTTCAAATGTTAGGCTTCAAAATAAATCAGAAAAATCATCTTTAATACCAACAAAGGCACTGGAATATCACAGTTTTTATAGATTCAAAAAACATATCAATTTCTCTACCCTGTTACAAAATCAAGAATACAATAAGAGAATATCAATCTATATTAAAAAAACCAACAGTTTATATAAGAAAACTCACTTCTATTATTTGGAAACTTATCACTACAACAAACGCAATATTTTCAGCATGTCTTCAGTCCTGAGCCCTTTTATACAACAAAAACATTGCCTTAAAAAATTTGAATGGGATTCAACACTTATATTATTAATAGAGAGCAAAATATAACTCACATGGTGGATAACGCAATTACACAAATAGAATGAGATAACTATTGTACAGAGAGAATCAGAAATAATAATATACACAGACATATATTGCATTGGCTAGAAAGTGGTTCTAGAAAATTGTCTCATTTTCAGAAAATGGTCTCCCACAGAAAAAAAGTTCCATATCAATGCCCTCAAAGCTCTAGCAGTTCTAAAAGCTCTTAAACACCTTAAGAACCCCAGAACAAAACAATTCAAGTCAAATTGGACAATTATACAACAGTTATATATCTCAACAACTAAGGTAGAACAACATTCTCAATAACTAGCAAAATAGTAAAATTAATCTGAAACTTCGCCTTAAAAAAATTAATCAAACTCCACGCAATTCACATTTTAGACAAAGAAAACCTATTAGCAGATCAAGAATCAAGGCATCTACATGACAAATATGATTGGAAACTCCACCCATATCTATTCAATCAAATAATAAACAAATGGGACCCAGTTCAAACAGACTTATTTGCAAACTCAGACAACACAAAACTGCCAAGGTTTTTTTCTGAAGAAATAACCAGACACAGAATTAATAGATGCCTTTTCAGTTTTGTGGACAAGAATATTTAGCTACGTCAACCCTCCTTGGGTTTTAATACAAAAAGTAATAGTGAAATTATACAGAACATAGCAAAAAAAATACTAGTTTTTACGCTTTAGAGATCAGGCCATGGTTTCCAATGTTAGCAAAGATTATTTAATTCAGACCATTATGAATTCCAAATTGAGCAATTCTTCTAAAGCAATAATCACTTATACACCCAATTTGAAATGCCAAATGGAAAGTCTACGTAGCTCTTGTCTCAGAGAATCTATTCAGAAACAAGATTATTCGGAACAAGTACTTGAACTTGCTTCAAGAGCTCTTGACCCTATAGCTTCGACTACAGTTTTATTGAGATAAAAATATTAACCCACATAGTTGTGAAATAAATAAAATTGCAGAATTCCTATATTACCAACTTTTAATTGGAAAAGCTTACAACACAATCGCTGGCTACAGATCTGCCATTAGAGAAGTTCATCAAAAAATCAATGGTTTAAAAGTTGGGTCTCACCCTGTTATAGCAAAAAAATGAAAGAAATATAGTTATCAAATCCTCCTCCTCCACCTTTGTACAATATAACAGACATAGTCCCATCATTAGATGTCATTATTTCATGGAGAAACAATAAAGACCTATCTTTATTTGAACTTAACAAAAAAGCCACATTTTTGCTAGCAATCACTACAGGTTCTCGTCCTTCAGACTTTTCCTGTTTAGACATAACAACTACTTCCTGTTCTAAAGAAGACATTAACATCAAATACATTATACCTAAAGAAGCAAAAATATCTATCACTAAAGGAGGACAAAAACGATTAAAAATTGTCTTCATAAAGAAATATGATAAAGAACCTTCACTATGCCCACTTACTACATTAAATTGTCTGAGAGAAAAATTAACATCCTTGTGGAATTAAGAAAAAACCTTTTCTTAAGTTCTTGCTCCCACATAAACCAGTTTCAGTAGATACCATCTTCAGGTAGATCAAAGAAATTTTACAAGTTTCAAATCCTGATCTAACTGCCTAGGACTCACGTGTTTTATCAGCATTTTTGGCCCAAAATGTCAGAACAGATTTGCCAACCATTTTAGCCTTGGGCAATTGGTCAAGCAACAATGTATATCAATATTTTTACCAATGAGGAATTCATCTCATGTTAAAACGCAATAATCTACCATCCACAATCATTAGCATGGCAAGAGATTTAGGCTTAATTTATAATTCTCCACAAGTAGCATATGATTAAAATCATACCTTCAAGTAAAGTTCATTTTACAAAATGTTTGTGTGAAGTAAAAATTATTTTAAAATGGACAAACGAAGAAGGTACGATAATAATTACATAAATACCGCTTCTGCTCTAGGTCACTCAATTAAGGAACTCTAACAATAGATAATATATATGCATAATCTACTTTATACGAACATTAACTGCATCTTTATTTGCTTCTTGATATTGAATGTTTTTCACATATTATATAGAACATCATTTATATATAGAGGTATATATATATATATATATATAATAATACTCCTTTCATACAAATCAATAACAAAAAAAAAACAGTCTATAGATTACATTATTGTCAATAGATTATTTATATGATAATTGTCTGGAGTGTAGCGACAAACACTCAATTTCTATATATTATGTAATACAAAAGTTACGTTTTTGATGTGTTTTGACCATCAAATGTTCTTTTTTGATGCATTAACGTAATTATTTTAATTAACATATCAATAATGTAACTTCAAAATTTTTTGTCTGTCTTGCCGCATGACGCGTGATTACAAAATTATTTTAAAAACAACAATTGATTACTGGTATAGTCAGGGATATTACCAAATATAGTAATGCTCCAGACTTATATCAGTTTCCGATTCCTAATTATAATATAACACAAAATAGTCTCTGATAAACTTGGGTCAGCATTAATAAAGGCAGTTTATAGCATGTGATTATTATCATATCTTTTTTGTTTGTCTATTTTAAAATGTTTTTCGCTTTGCTCAAACATTTTGTAAATTTAATCTGGCCATCTAAAAAGAAAGCCTTGTTGACAGCATTGCTAACGCTAATTACTGTAGTACCACATGCTCGTACATTAAACATTATTACAGATAAAAAACAATTAGCTCATGACTTTACAAACATAGTTCAAATCCCTACATATCTTGTCAACCAATTGTTATTTACACCCTTTGGAATTTACAAAGCAACTATAAAAGCAGCAATTATGAGAAAAGATCTAACAGTACAAATAACAACTACAACTACTACAATTAGACCAAGTACTATAGGCACAACTATTGCTACTGAAATCAATATAGAGCTGATATTACACAACACCTACATTCCCAAACTTAGCTACTATATATTTTTTCACAATCCGAGGAGACTATTAAGGCATCTACAAAATGCAAAAAATATAACAGACTGATATAATCTAAATAGAATATATCTATGAAACCTAGATTCAAAAAAAATCAACTAAGAACTTACCTTAACTTTATAAACTATCACAACAGCCCTTTAAGCTAATATATACATCCTACACAAACTAAAATCAAAACCTTCAAAATAAAATTAATAATGAATAAACTTCCAACACTTCTTAATTTACATATTTGACATTCAGCAAAATATAACAACCCTATATGCTACAGATATACACAAACAAATGAAGATAATCAATACTTGCTTACATGCATAACCAATATGTATTCTATTGAGAAAATAGTTACACAAGTTCTTAACCAAATAATACAAAAATATCAAATAAATATAAATACTACTAACTTTAGACAAAACTTCTTACAAAAGTTTATATACAAACTGCAACCTGCACCTCTCAGAATTATTATCAATAATATTATTATCAACAAAAACCCTCAAACAAACACCAATGTAGCAAAAAATTCCACCTGTTACTTTCTTTATCACATCATCAAGGAAATCCAAAAGAAGACTTAGAAAGCAAGATGTATAGAAATCTTGAACCAAGCTACACAAAGTCTACAACCTCCAATTTCAATTATAAACAAACACTAACCCAAACACTCAGCTTACTATAAAACATACAAATATAACTATTGGCTCAATGGTTTCATAACAGCAAACACCTTCCCACTCAATATTCTATATATAGACTAATAAGGTCATTGACCTATCTTAGCAAAAGCTTAGATCAAAAGTAAAGTAGCTTTAGTCTTTAATTCCATATAGATTAGAAAACATAAAGTATTGTAATAATATTTGTAATATTATATGAATTCTAATAAAGGAACAGAGGCACGGCCTCGCTTTTAAAAAAAAAAAAAAATAAAAAAAAATAACTTGCTAATTATAATCTGCTAACTACAATATTGCTAATCTAATACAATTATTCACTAATCTACTTAATAACTTGCTAATTATAACTTGTTAACAACAAATTTCTAAATCTAATATTCTAACCACTAACTTTCTAATTATAATATAAACTATTTAGAATAACTTTAACTACCAACTTACTAATTCTAATCCACTAACTTTAATTAATAATAACTACAATCTTCAGAAATTTATTTGCATAATAAACATGAGCAATCATTGAATTTAAGAACATTTAACACTCTTTCCAACGATCATTTGGACCAAAATTTTCTAAAAACTTTTATTGGAAAAAAAACAAAAATATCTGGACTAGCCTATGAAACGCAGGAAGAGGGACTATAAGAACAGCAGCTATTATTTAGAGATAGTTCTCATACGCTACCTGCTAATAGCTTCAG